TTAAGAGTAAAGTTAAGATAAAAAAACTTTGCTTAAAATGATAATTAGTCAAATGAAGGATGGTTTTGGATTTTGCAAGTAAGTTCATGTAGTTTGCTAGTAGATAAGTTAAAAACTGCTTTAGATAAAATGTGCTGGATTGATGAATTAATAATGTTTATAATAAAAATAAATTAGAGCAAGTTAATTCATATAAGTGGAAGTCAGAAAGATTGCATCAAAATAGTTGGCATTTGGAAAAATTATTGGATAGGTATTGTGATAAGAAAAGTAGATTGGTAGTTGATTTAAGAAAACTTTAATTTTGAAGGTTTTAGATTGATTGAGTTTAAAGCTAGTAAAGTTAGATGTAGGTTTTTGATTATAATTAAGATATAGTTATATAGATTTCCAGTCTATATAGTGATTAATATAAGTCTATTCATTATTTTATTTTTGTGAAGACCACATTGCCAGTATGTGTCCTTTACAGATATTTTTAACAAAATGTCTGATAGGAAGTTCATCAAAATTTTGTTCCTATCATAAAATATAAAAAAGATTGTAAATATTTGTATATTAAAAGTTTAAAGATAGGAAAAAGGTATATTGTTTTGCTAGAGAATTAGCTATGTTATTAAAGGTATTATCTGTATAGGCTTGAACTTTGTAAAAGTTAATATTTAAATTAAAGGATTTGATAATATTAAGGAGTCTATGCTATAAGAGCCATACGTTGAATTTAAAGAGTTTGTTAGAATTATTAAGTTAGGTAGAAAGTTTGTAAAATTTAGAAATAACAGATTGTGAGTTAGCATAAATTTGAAGTGTTGCATTACAGAGTATGATTGAAATTGCTGATAAAATAGAAAAAAGCTTTGCCTTATAGGCTGATGGCTAAAAATGAATTTTAGCTGAGAATTTATAGAGAATTTGGTTGTTACTGTTAATTTAAACTCATCCAATGCCTATTGAACTTTGTTCAGTTCCAATATCAGTCACTGATTTGTCTGTATAAAAAATAAATTTCTTATATAACAGATTGTTTTGAAAGATTTCCTTAAGTTTGTTTGAACATTCATTAGATTTAAAAATTTTAGCAATAGTTGAATTTGATATATTGATAGTAGAATAGTTATATGGAATTCATGAAGGATGTTTAATTGTTATTAAATAAATAAGGTTCAGGTAGTTAGCATTAAGTTTGAGTTTAGAGGTTTTTCTTTCCAGAAAGCTGGTACAAATAGTTGCTGATACATTAATTGTGCATATTTTGATTAATTCTATTTGAGTTAAAATGGCACCCAATACATGATGTGCAGTTCAGATCTTGAAAAGAATAGTAATGATTATGTTTTAAATCAATATTAGCATTCCAGTATGAGATAGAAAACTGATTTATGTTTGGTAAGTATTTGTAAATTTTGCCAATAATAATCTTTTTGTTATTGTTATTATATGTAAGTAACTAAGGTTTAAATTGTTTCTTGATTGGTAAAATGTTATATGTAAAGGCATTAACTCCAGATGGTTAAAAATAAGGGAGAATTAGGTAGTGTAGTTGTTAGACAAAATTGTGTCTTCAAGGTAGATGAACCAAAGAGGCTGCCTTCTTTTAGTTAGGTGATGAAGTCTAGGTAAAAGATGATGCCATTTGAGTAAAGTACTATTATCTGCAGTACATAGTTGTTCTAGGTAGAGTATATTGTTTTTTCAAAGTTGTTTTCTAAAAGTATTGTATTTGGGATACTAAATAAGTATTAGTTCTAATGGTTGGTAATTATCATGAATTGTGTTAGGCCACAGAACATTAGAATTTGCTAAAATTGAAATATCCAAGTGCTGTAGAAGTTGTATAATTTTAAAGTTAAGTATAAGTTTGTTGGGTCTATTAATAAGTGGTTGGTTGTACTAAAGAACATTAATAACAGACCAAAGGTTGTTTTGGAGTTGCTATAATCTAATCTTTGTAGAGATGCCAAGTGTTTTTGGATTGTTAATTCTTTGTTGAAAGCAGAATACATAATGTTGTAACTGAATGTTCCAAATATTATATACATTATATATATGAGGGTTTAGCATGATGTTGTTAGGACTAGTGTGAGAGAGTTTGGCTTTATGTTTAATCATAATAAGCTATTTGAATAGAGTTTTGTCATAGGTAAAGTGTTTAAGAATTATGTTGTATAATCTGTATTTGATAGTAGGAATAATTACAGTGTTAGTAATATATATAGCTTGTTTGTTTATAATTCTTTTGATATCTGTAATGTTAATAAGTTGGATTGCTTCATTATAAATTAATTGGCTTCGTTTTGTATAAGAGTTGTTAAGAATAAACCAGCTTTCTAGAAATTTGAATAGCTGGTTGGCAGGAGTAGGTGTAAGTAATAAATTAAAAAAATAAATAGAAGTTATAGATGAGGTGTTTAAAATAAGAATTGATTTAGTTGAGTTAATTTGTATATTGGCCATGTGGTAAAAGAAGGTAGCTATGGCAATAATTGTTTATAATTCTTTTTTGGATTTGGCTAGAGTACAGGATGGGTCAGGTCAGGTCGGGTTCAAGTAAACCCAACCCAGACCCGAATTAGAACCTAATCTGGACCCAACTCAATATAAAAATTTTTTGTCAAGTTTGGGTTGGGTCTGATCCAAAACCTGACCCGACTAACCCAACCTGACTAACCCGACCCGACTAACCTGACCCAACTCAGTCATTTTTATGTACAGTGTAGCATAGCAGTGATTGGTCAATCACTGAATGTCTCATCATACATACATTGCATTATCTGACTTTAAACAAATAAGTAGCTGCGCAATATTGTTACACAAAACCAGAAACAGAAAATACTAATGACACTAACAATTGGTAAATATTTTATATAGCAAAGACAGTATCTAATCCAAAGGGAATTCTTTATTTAAATTAAGTATTTACAAATAAGTATTTCATAATTCTAATTCTAATGATTAACAGTAACAAATCATCTTTATACTCACGGGCTAAATTAATATAAACGAAATAAATAATTTGAAGAGTATTAGGTAATTAATTGTAATTAAGTATTTAGTGCAAATATTTATAAATAAGTATTTATATTTATATATTTAATTCTACTGATCAATGCTAATAAATCATCTTTATACTTACAGGCTAAATTAATGCAAATGAAGAAATAATTTGAAGAATATTAGGTAATTAATTGTAAATAAATATTTAGTAATAAGTATTTATGAATAAATATTTATATTTGTGATTTTAATAAAATTGATTTATGTTAATAAATTATCTTTATACTCACAGACTATTTGAAGGGTATTAGGTAATGAATTGTAATGAAATATTTAGAGATAAGTATTTATGAATAAGTATTTATGTTCATACTCACAGACTATTTAAAGGGTATTAAGTAATTAACATAAAGAAGTATTTAGAGATAAGTATTTATGAATAAGTATTTACATTCACAATTTTAATAAAACTGATTAAATCATTTTATACTCACTATTTGAAGAGTATTAGGTAACTAATTGTAAATAAGTATTTAGTAATAAGTATTTAGAGATAAGTGTTTATGTTCATGATTTTAATTATACTAATTAACTATCTTAATACTCACACACTATTTAAAAAGTATTAGATAATTAATTGTAAATAAGTATTTAGAGATAAATAGATATGAATAAGTATTTATATTCATAATTTTAATAAAACTAATTAATGTTAATAAGTCATCTTTATACTCATCCACTATTTAAAAGGTATTAGATAATTAATTGTAAATAAGTATTTAGAGATAAGTATTTAGAGATAAGTATTTTTGAATAAGTATTTATGTTTATGGTTTTAATTCTACTGATTAACGTTAATAAATCATCTTTATATTCACATACTATTTGAAGAGTATTAGGTAATTAATTAATTTTAAATAAGTATTTATAGATAAGAATTGTTAGATTATTACTTAGAATGTGTGAAAACTTTAATATATGGGTTACGATTTATCCTGCTTACAATCTAGAATGTCATAGCTGAAAGATAACTTTAATTCAAATTGGAAATTCAGATTTTAATGGTGATAATAATTTTTTAGAAATATTTATTTTAAGGTCATTAGGATCATTTACAATTATATTGAACTAGTTAATTGTTATCTCTTATTTATTGATTCAAAAGAATATATATATACTGTATATTTTACTAGTCTTTTGGTTTCAAAAAGTGTTATTGTAAGAGCAATCATCCGAGTTTAGCTAGGTTAGTAATCTAGGATAAAAGAAGACATAATAAATAGATAAATTGGGAGCAAGATAATTAAATAAATTAAATATAATATTAACTAAATAATTTAAATAGAAAAAGGGGTGATGTAAATAAATAATAAATTGTATAAAAGTGATGAATTAATAAATAAGAAATAGATTAAATGATAAATTAATTAAAGTATTGTTCCAGATAAATAAGAACTTGGTTATTAGACATTATTAATTATAAATTTAAATTACATGTGATCCAAATAACTAGAATAAGTAAGAAAAACGTAAATAAATATGGGTAAATTGGGCAAGATAATTAAATAAATTAAATATGATGTTTACTAAGCAATTTAAGTAAAAAGAGAGATAATATAAAAAAATATGTAAATAGTATGAACAGTATGAACAAGAGCGATGAATTAATAAATGAGGGAATAAATTAAATTATATATTAATTAAGATACTGATCTAGAGAAATAAGAACTTTAGTTAATAAGAGTTTATTATTTATTAATAATAAACTTATTACATAGTGATAGGTTGATATCAAATGATAAGTATTAATAAATTTTAATAAATAATTCATGTTGCTACTAACTTTGTATTTATTTTGTAGGTTTGCTTATTTTTACTACTAACATGCCCCTTAACTTATTACACTCAATAATTCCTTCTGATATAAATAACTTAATTCGAAAGTTTTCATATTCTAATAAAATTATAATTCTATGTGAGAATAAAGAAGAAATTTGAAAATAACAATGGTCTCGAACAATGATCTTTATAGTTCCATAACAATACTTTTGAACCCTTTGTCCTACTTACTAAACAACAAGCTGAATAATACAACAGGGTAAAACCTGAGCTATGTTGATCACAATCTGCTTTCACATAATTTAATTTTTAATTAAATGCAGATTTAACACTAACATGATCTATATAATGAGTTTACTGGTTGTTAACTTTGGTTTCATCAGGTTTTAAATTAACAAGCATATATTTAAATCATTGGCTTATAAAAATTAGATGAAATGTTCTGTTATCTTATCATTATACCAAATTAATCAAAATTTGATAAGTTCATAAGATGAAATAAAGTTTTAATTAATAAATGTACAGAGAATATTTTTGGCAACAATTATGATAATACGTATTTGTTTGCAAAAAAAAAAAAAATAACTTACTTAAATCGGCCCCAGCCCATGATGTTGTGGGTCAACCCTCGGCTCATCTGGCTGATAGGCCAGGTCAGCTTACATCACTCATGGTTTCTACTTTGAAGCCACTCACAGCATAATGGTTATTCTAAATTTGTAGATCCGGTTCAAATATGACATGTCAAATTATTAAAGTACCCTGTATAACCAAAACAAGATAAAGCATCGCACAAATGCAGAGAGTTTGGTTAGTTAGAAGGTGAACCAGGTTTTGTTGAGATCAGTACATCAAATTATGATAGGTGGTCTAATACATATTGATATTTGCATATTAGTTTTAGTTTATTTGACAGATAAGTCATGTATACATTATAAGTTGATGCTTCTCACTTTACCAACAGTTATTTTACCGAAAGTTTATTTAGCTGACATCACATAAGGTTAGGGTTAGAGTTTTATTAGTTTTAGGTATATATTTTTAGTAAATTGTCATGATGTGATGTCAGCTAAATGAGCTGTCAATAAAATAATTGTTGGTGAAATGATACAGATCCATTTCATCAATACTAGTAATAACATGTAGAAGAGTTAAACCCTGCACTTTGTGAGTTGTAAGAGAAAAACATTCTGAAGATGAAATTGTTGTTGAGAAGCAGGTATGTCATTGATTTCAAAGTAGGATGTTTCTTTTTGAACAGTAACTTTGTTTATGCCTTCATAAGTTAGAAATATAACTTCAATATTATTACTATCTCTTAGTTTAGTTATAAGCCCAATTGTATCATTGCAGATTCCATTGTCAAATAGTTTGTTATTTAAAAACATAATCCAGGCTTCTTTTTGTAGATGTAATAAGGTTATGGCTATACATTAGTTATATAGTTTTTATTAATTAGATTAATCTTTAAATTATATGCATGAGTATATGTTTTTTTTTTTTTTGTAAGCATGATACTGAGTCAAAAATTTTCTTAATTGATCTGTGATTGATATTTATGTTAAAATCTTCATGTGACATTATAATCAATAATATTGAATAACTATTCGACCTCAACAATAACTACGAAACAATACTAATGTCATCATAATTAAACCTTCTAAAAAAACATAATTAATAAATTTTTATCTGTTTAGTAAAACAAAAAAAATTTTTTTTATCTATTCGAATAATCTAGTAAGCTTACGTTCCTGTTTTCATATAATAGCATCATGCAGCTACCTTATTGTTAAATTTAAAAAATAATTACCTATATGAAAATGGTAGCAAATGTTTGACTCAGTGAACTACAAAATATGTAGATATCTTTAATTTTAGAGATTATCAATTAATCTAAATAATAAAAAATCTGAAATCAAAAAATTAAAAAAGTAAAAAAATCGTAAAATCTTGTTTAGAATTAACTTTTTTTTAATAATTTAATGTCAAATGTACAAATAATTGTCAAGTCTCGTTAAGCAGTTTGACCCCTTGCTGAGCTTTGCTAGAGCATTATAAGTTGAAGAGCAAGAGCTCAAGAATAGTCTATATAAAATGCGATCAATTTTGTAATACCTTTTTTAGCCCTTTTTTTTCTATATTTGGATTATGGTACAATTATTAAATTACATTCTTACAAATTTACATTTCACAAATATGATCGAGCTTTTTTAGTATGTTAAAAATAACAAAATGTCATGTTCAATAATTGTGATGCCAAATTTAGTAAATATGTAATTGACTATGTATTAGCAATAATTATAGCAAGTAAACAAAGTTATGGGTAATTGTTGTTAATTTGTCATGTTCTATAATTGTGGTGCCAACATGCAATTATTTGTTATATATTAAATTATTATAACACTAAATAAAGTGAAATAAGATTGTTAGTTAATTTGTGTTGAATAATCGTGGTGCTGAATTTAGCAAACATGCAATTGTTTGCTACTGATTATTATTATAATATAAATAAAATAATATGTGTTTTTTTTGTCGATGGTCGTATCAACTATTTTTGCAAATTGTCACATAGTGGCATATAATATAATCGCATTTTTAACAAAAGAACTTCATCCCAATGTAGGCACCCATAATTTAGTTTCATAATATTTCATAATATATCTCTGCCTTACAAGCTTTGCTATATATCGCTAAAATTTTCAACCTATTAGTAATTTAGAAACAATGCAAGTGTCTATTGAGAAGCATAAAAATGAAAATAAAAATTCTAATCCTGTTAGTATGTCACAAAAGAAGCCAACCAAAAAGTTGTCATGTCATGTTTGCTATAATAAAAAACGTAGACTCGAAAAGGAAAAAAATTCGATCCTACAGTGGAGCATAATGAGTCTATACCTACTATACTGATTATAAAATTAACAATTAATGATATTACTTTTGATCCAAACCAGGTATATATTATTTAAAATTATTAAATTCTTGAGATTTTTTTTCCTTACTGCTATGATTGTTTTTGTGTTGATCAGTTAACTTTTCCGAGCTATTATTGAATATACTCAGTTATGCAAAAAATTTTATTTCTACTATTGAAATGATAGAGCTTCTACTGAGTATATTTGTGGTTCAACAGACACACAGTTATTATTTTAATAACCCAATAATTTGTTAGAGTGGCTAATCCAGTTCACAAAAATATTAGGTAAAAGAAAATAAATCCAAAAGCTCATCCAAACCTATTAATAAGCTTACTAATAATTTTATCTTTTTTTTTGTGTTATTAATTATTAGCATTGAACCCAACATGAAACCTGGGGTTTATGTATGAAAGATAAAATATTTTACATAGAAAAAGAGTGGAAGAGTGTTACTCTTTGTCCATCTGATCACATAGCATTGTTAAAAGGAGTTAAAAGCCAAGAAAAAGTTTCAGCAGAAGGATTATTAATGGAAACATTAATTTGAGAAGCTGTATTAAATAGTATTAAGCTATCTGAGATCCCACTCAAGTTTCTAGTATTTATTAATAATGAAATAATTAAGGTCAATTATTTTAAGTCTAAAACCAAAGATCTGAATGAACAATTATAGCTCTTTCTTAGACAATAGTTAGGAATGAAAGAACTACTTACAAGAAGAGATGTGTGTCAGCATCTTCGATGTAAGTAGAAAAAACTTAAACATACTATAGAAATTCGAAATTATATAGAATTACAAAATTTTTCAAATATAGTAACCTCATATATTTCTTGAAAAAAAAAGACACAAATGATAATTTCTGCACAAGGTAAACTTCAATCACTAAAAGAATTAGTGCAGTTTTGATATATTGTAAAGCCAGAATGTATTACTGATACAGATGGGCAAACCTTAATACATCTGGCATTACTTAATAATTCAAAGGCAGTTGTGCAAGCAATGGATGCTGTAAATTATTATTATTTTCATACTTTAAATAACCCCTCACACTGTAGTGATGAATTCTGGAAGAATTTTATAGAACATTTTGATGTATATACATGAAACAACCTTCATTCTTTTACTAGTTCAAATACTGCAAATGCCTATAATGTCAAGCACCAAGAATGTGTTGATACTTTACTTTGCAATCTTGTCCTACTATCAACTTCTATTAATGAGTTTGTGTAAGAATTTTATAAAAATCTATATGAAAAACTAGGAAAGTTAGTGTGGGACCCTTTGCACATTGACCCTTTGGAATCTTCCCAATGATTGCTATTAATTTTAACACAACTAGCAATTAACATTGGGATGAACATGATGACCTGAATAGTCTATGTTGTTTGGTTGCTCTTGGTGATTTTGAGGGAGGTGAACTTTGCTTCTCTCAACTTCAAATCGTAATACCTCTTAGACCTGGACAAGTTGTTGCCTTTTCCTCATGTCTCCTTCTCTATAGAAATTTTCTAGTAACTCGAGGGATCTGGCACAGTATTGTTTGCTTCATTCATAGTACCTTTTTCCATCATTTGCAAAACTTTTCTTTGGTTTATAGCAATCTTGAGAATGAGATTGAAAAGGATGCACATGGATCAATAGTTTTTATGATCTCCGACAAGACCTAAATGATGCTCATGGGTTAAATATCGAACCAGACTCTCTAAACTAAAAAAATCCAAATAACAATTCCTTCTTCATCATCAGATTGTAGATGAGATCATATTAGTTTAGTTCATGCTCGACTAGGATTAAGGGTAGAAGAATCACTTCCAAATTTATAATAATTATAGAAATTTAATATATATATATTTTTTACTGTATTATAAACATATTAAAAAGAATATACTTAATTTTTGACTGTTAATACTTAATTGTTGACCATTAATACTTAATTTTTGACTGTTAATACTTAATTTTTGATAATTATATTAAAATATACACACAGTAAATAGATAGATACATATAGAGAAGAAAAAGTGCCCAAACACTAAACCTATTATTTGTAAACCCAAATTCATATCTATAATCAATAAACCAAAATACACTTTAACAAACTAAACTAAATTTTAAAGAATATCTTAAGTATAAATCTAAATCTCTTATGTTAATAAGCTTGCATCTTATATTGAATACCTAACTCAAAATCTAAATCTTAAAAAAATAGACTCTATTTTTGTTAGTAGTTATTTTTGTGTTAAATTTAGATGAAGCTTTTTTTCTTTACCTTTTTTAGAATGTCATGTCTAAGCTAACTTCTCTGAATATAAGATTATAAAAAATTAATTTTAGAGTTAGCTTTCTAACACTCTTTTGAAGCTAAAAATAATTTTTTAATAATTTTTTGCTTGTGTAATTTTGTATTTTCAAAAAGTACTTTAAAGTATATAAATAAATTACCCAGGCAATTGATTTATATCAGCCAATCAGACGAACTTCTGCCTATAATATTACAACAGAAAAGTTGATTTATGATAAACCATCATACTGGTATTTGGAAAATCTGTGCTATGCTAATTTCCTGTATAAAAATAAATGTAATGTTTTTAATTACCAAATTAGTGTGACAATTAAAGTCTGCAAAATCTTATAAATTTCATGTAAAGACAATAGTAATATGCAGGATCGAAAGCAGTGATTATTAATCACCTGAATTTTCTCACCTTCAATAGCATAACTCTTTCTTGTATGTACTATATATGCTCATAAATTACCTGAATTTTCTTACCTTCAATAAAATAATTATTCCCTTGCATATACCATATTGTCATGAAATAACAAGTGTAAATGTTATTTAGAAAATTGTGTCCTCTGAAATGGCATGTATGCTTTCAAAATAGTTTATGCATTCAAAAATGACATGCACTCTATATTAGGGTTCCAACAAGTAATAAATATAATAAGAAAATTTTACAAAATACATTAATGCCTTGGCATACTCTTATATTCAAAATAATGTGTAGGTGGGCATTATTTCATAACAATATGATATGTATATATGGATCTTCAATAACATAGTTTTTTTTTGCATATACTGAAGTGCCTATCAATTGTTTGGATTTTCTTAATAATTCTCTTGCATGTACCGTATTGCTGCGAAATAATAGTTTAGAAAATTGTGTTCCCTAAAAATAGCATATATTGGGGTTCCAACAAGTAATTAGATACAACAGACATGTTAAGAGAAATTTTATCTTGTTTAAAATAAGCCTATGGTCTAAATAACATGTAAGTTTGTGACAATATAGTACATACATATGTATATATGTACTCATCAATTATTTGTATCTTCTCATCTTCAATAAAATAGTTCTTTCTTACATGTGCTGTATTTGTCTGAATTTTCTCTATATGCATCTCAAAATAACATACACCTTCCAACAAGTAATTAGATATAATAGGCATGAAGGAGAAATTTTCTTTATCTCAAAATAATGTCTATGGGCGTACTCTAAACAACACGCAAATAGGTGTTATTTCATGTCAATATGGTATGTGTATATATTTACTCATCAATTATCTGAATTTTCTCACCTTCAATAACATAATATGTACATGCTCATTAATTGTCTGGATTTTTTTACCTTTAATAAAATAATTCTTTCTTGCATGTACATATATATATACATGCCTAAAAATATGTCTTCTTGGCATTGTGGTATGAATCCTTTGTTTCTGCTTCTTGAGTTGATAACATTTACGATTTGAATTTTTTATCTTAATTGTGAGAAAAATACTTAAATATTAAATATAAAAATTCATATAAAAGGCTATTAGTTTTTAATAAGTCAAATAAGTCTCTTTTCCTTTTTGTTAAAAAAAAAAATAAGCTACAGAATTATTGATGGTATATTTTGTAACTGATATATAAAAGAATTGGGCATTTTGGAATATAATTATTGATCTATCTATTTTATTTAGCTACAATAAAAAAAAAAATATATGGATTTAATTGAAGATACAAGTATGGATTTAGGTGATGAAGCAAATATGAATCCAATTGGTAGTGAAGATGAAAGTCTAGAAATAACTTAAGCAACCTTTACTGAAGTAACCTCTACTGAAATAACCATCGATACCAATAAACATAAAGGCGGTAAACCTCCATCATGGGTTTTTGAAGAAAAACATTTTGTAAATAATGACAAGCAAAGTAAAAATGCAATTAATTAAAATTTTTATTTTTTTTATTTTTTTTTTTTTAACTAAGTTAAATTACTAGAAAATCATATTAGATATGCATATTGTAAAACGCCCTTTAAATATGATAGTAGTAAAACAGGAACTAGCAACTTGATTTGTCATTTAAAAAACACAAAATGCAGTAAATATCTTAACACAGAATCATAACAAAAATTGCAATTTTCTTGTTCTACACCTAGTGTTGTTGTTTATAAATTTTCTCAGGAGAGAAGACACCAAGATTTAGCAGAAATGATTATTATGCATGAGTATCCATTTCGTATAGTTGAACATGAAAGATTCTTGAAATTTGTTAACAATTTACAGCCACAGTTTAGAGTAATGAGCAAAAGGACAATACATGAAGATTGTAAAAAGTATGTTGCAAATCTTGAAGTAAAGATACATATAATGATACAAGAAGCTCCTAGAAATTTAAGTTTTACAACAGATCTCTGGACATCAAACCAAAATCTTGAATACATGGCCATTATATATACAGTATATTTTACTTATAGATTTCTAACAATGATTATTTTTTACTGTACAGATTGTGCACAGCATACAAAAACAAAAATTTATGCACATTCTTTTTTGAATAGATGTGCAGAAGCCATACAGAAAAAAAATAACATTTTATAAGTAGTGCACACAATTGCAAATAGTTTCTTGTGGTTTTTTTATTTGCTACACAGAATAAGTCTATAAATTGTATGATATCCACACAGTAAATTTTAATTGAAAAATTAACACTTATCTCTATTAGGCCACTTTATCGATGGGAATTGGAATACCCGAAAATTGATTTTGTCATTTAAATTAGTTCCTA